GTCGGAACCGACTCGACGGCACTTAACAACAACAACAGATGTATATAAACTGACTGAAAGACTATGGTTTAGGTTAGTGGTCACAGGAGAAAGATGAGGCTTTCTGCTTCTGCAAAGATTTATAGCCTTGAAAACCTATATGGGGTTGCTATGAGTTGGAGTCATGTCCACACACTTGTTGTGGTTGTTAAGTGCCGTTGAGTTGGTTCTAACCCATAGCGACCCTGTATAGGATTTCCAAGGAGCAGCTGGTGAGCTTGAACCACCAACCTTGCAGTTCAAAAGGCTTTGCAGTCTGGCGCATTAACCCACAGCGCCATACCGGGACTCCACAGCACTTAGCAGCAGGTTAGTAATGTAGAGCAAACCATTTGCAATAGTCCCAGAGACCTGCTGACCTAGGATTTAGGACTGCCGTCTGACCATTGTTCTCCCTCTTGCTTAAACAAATCCAGATCATTGGAACTCAGGCTTAAAAAAGTTCCGTAACTGTCATCATAAAGTAGGACTGAGTATGTGTTGCATAGCAACCAAATCTGTTGCTCTTGTTATTCAGGAGTCCTGGTGTGGCGCAGTAGGATAAGCCCTGAACTGCTAACCGTAAGGTCCGCAAGGTCAGTGGTTCAAACCCACTAGCCTTGGAAAATCTGTACAGGGTTGCTATGAGTTGGAACTGACTCGATGACACTTAACAAGAATGAAAAAAGAAAACAAACAAATGAGGAAACAGACCATTGTGCCTGGTGGCCCACAGCACTGATGTGAATGTGTGCAGCTTTCCAGAGTCCTGCCATAGCCCTTCCTCCTGAACGTTTCAGGAGCCTGGTGTCGGGGACTGGATTACTTTGGGCATGTTCTCAGGAGGGACCAGTCCCTGGAGAAGACCATCATGTTTGGTAAAGTAGAGGGTCAGCCCAAAAGAGAAAGATTCCCCAATGATATGGATTGGCACAGTAGCAGCCACAGTGGTCTCAAATGTAACAAGGATTGTGAGGCTGGCCCAGGACCGGGCAGTGTTTCATTCAGTTGTGCATTCTTAGTTGGAACTAATTTGATGGCACCTAACGACAACAGAGAGCAACAGACATTTGAAGCAGTGTGGTGAGCGGCCATCTTTAAACAGGGCCAGCTGTCATCTCTGATTGGGGAGGGGTTGTTTGTTTCCTACAAGGTCAAATTACCATGGGCAACAGATTTGGTTGCTAAGCAACAAGTACTGGCCTTACTTAAGCCGGTAATTACAGAACCATTTCAAATGGGTTCAAAGTTCTTTTGGAACCAC